ACAGCGACTACATCGTGTTTCACATTTTAATCCTGCCAGAGTTATATGCTGACAATTTTTTTTTTTGTATAACAAACAAAAAGAACAAGCGATATAGTAAATTTCTATATAATTTATTCATGAAAACGAAAACATTCATTAGCAATAACCCATATGGATGAATTAACATCAACAGTTAACACAAATATATGTGAAAAAAGACGTTTTTCTTTCGGAACTGATGTACTTTCGGGTGGACCATATATAACACCACCACTAACAAATACTTGATATGTTTTTGCTTCATTTGGAAATAAATCTAATAACAAAAAAACAAACAATAATTAACCTACAAAAATATTTTTATATTGGTTTTTTTTTACCATTCATTGGAAAGAAATCAAGTGCATAAATATAATGACGTGTTGCTGGTAATGAAACGAGATGTTTTGCAATAGCACTTTGTCCATTGAATTCCATCCCATTCCAAACTAATTTAGCTTGTGCTTGATAAAATTTATCAATATCCTATAAAAAAGCTTTTTTTTTTTTCTTCCTATCTAAACAAAAAGAAAAATAAATCTTACGTGTCGTCGTGTATCAAAGATATCATAATATCGTTTAGAAAAACTTTCTACAGCTTCTACATCTTCTCGACATTTTTTTTGCTAAATAATCGAAATTGATATAATACACATAATCATATAAATTAATTCCTTTTCACACCTGATCCGTTGTTGTTAACATTGATTTAAATAAAGAGAAAACTTTTTTTTTTTTTTTGTTTATCTGAAATATGAATTATGTTTATTTATAGATCAATCAAAATGATTCATATATATGTAGTCAGATAACTATAAAAGAAAAAAGAAAACAATTTTATTTTTTTAATCAAATTAAATTGAACATCGAATAGGTTTTTATTTTTTTTCTTGTCGTTGATCATGTTCACCATTTTCAATACGATTGTTTCGTTTTGAACTACAATAAATAAATGAATTTTACTAATTTCTTAGACATATTACAAGATTATAGATAAATCAAAGATTACAAACTGAAGAAAAGAAAATAAGTTATCTAAACATGAGAAGTTCATTTAGAAAGGCAAAATCTCACAGTAAATAATATTTGAAGAATGAAAAATTAAACGTACAGTTTCAAGGCGTCTATAAGAAATGAATTGATAGAAAAAAAATCATCAAGAAATTGGTATTAAATGAATAAAAGCATCTTTTGTTTTTTAAATAAAAAGTCTTCAACTCAAATAACTAAGTTAAATCTATACAAAAAAAAGACAGTCGCAAGACGCTATTACTAAATTGCAAACGACTACAAAGAAGCATGTTTCTCAATATATAAACTAGAAATTCTTTCGAAAATTAAAATGATTAAAAGCATAGAATTTTATAAAGTTATTTCAAAATTAAAACTCGGATCAAGAAAAAAACAAAAGTATTTCTGTTTTAATATACATCTGCATCATTTGATGATATAGTCAATGCTAACATTCCATGTAGAAAACAAAAATGTAAAAGCATTATTTTTCTACTATGAAAAAAACCTTAAAGTGAATTCATTAGCAGCAAGGGAGTTAGAGTAGTACTTAGAGCTTGTCGGTTTGGTTTCGGTCGTACCGACTCAATAAGTCATTTCCGAAAAGTAGCAGATAATTATGATTTGATTATTATTAAATAATCATTAAGATTGTCTGAGAAATATGTAGGGTACATTAACCATCGAATACAAAAAGCCGAAATAAAACATTTCGTATCATCGGGGCGACTATACTATTCCGATTAGAAAATTTCATTGAAAGTATCAAAGTACAGTTCACCACATGGCGTATCAGTCTTAGAGTATTCTGAAAGAGTATTGAAAGCTAATGGGTGCCGATAAGAATGCACAAAAGGCCCTTACTCACACTCATGACGAAGAGTTCGATCATGAAGTAAACTATAGACTTGTGAAACTCCTCTATTTTTCAAAAAAAATCAGGACATGCATAACTATTACGATGTAATGTTTTTTTTTGTGCAGCAAGGATATCCACCTTATGCCTTTATTTTATAGGAATATATTCAAACTGCAACTGTTTTGCTAATAAAATGTAACAATGAGACTTTTTCATCGTTTTTAATTTTATATTAGATTTCAAATATATATATATATATTGAAAAAGAAAACCTACGTTGATGTTGATCTTGAACGACGTGGTGATCGAGATCGTGAACTAAATTAATAAAAATTTATCAAAAAAAAAAAACATTTTTTTTTATCTTAATAAATTTCTTTAAACAAACCGTCGATGATGACTATTACTACGTGATCGATGTTTTGAACGTCGTCGAGATCTTGATCGTGAACGTGTTCTAAGTTTAAATATTAAAAGATTTTCATTTTCTCTATTCATAATATGAACAGTAAATTTTCTTTTTTTTCAAAAAAAAAAAACAAAAAAAACAAAAAAAAAACATAATATGCAGACTTGTTACTTTGATAAAAAAGAAAAAGTAGCCTAATCGACGAAACATATATATATCTTACATCTGATCTGTTAAATCGACTGGAATATAACTGCAGTCTCGCTCTGTTTAGTTTGAATGAATCAAAATAAAAAATGCAGCATACAAACACCGGGATAAACCAATATTTTTTTATTTTCTCGAACATGTCGATTTTCTAGACATTCTGGATACAGCATCTTTGTGCAGAAGAATACCTGTGTGAATAGAGATAAACAATTTTGTTTATTCTAATCTTATGGGAAGATAAACAAAAAATAAATAGGATGGGAAAATTTTAAAATATAAAATTTTTCTTTTCTCGATAAGTTTTTATTTTATTTTTATTTTTATTTTTTTGTTTCTATTATCTTACCGACGATGGCGAATTTTTTCTCGACTATCTGTAGCTGATGCACGACCATAACGAGCAAATTGTACACGTATTTCACGTCCATCAAGATCAGTACCATCCATACGATCAAGTGCATCTTGTGCATCACGTTTTTTAGTAAAACTTAAAAATAAAAAAAATAAAAATAAAAACATGAATAAATGATAAACATACCGGACAAAAGCATAACCACGACTTGATCGTGAAAATTGATCTCGTGGAATATAGATATCACCAATAGGACCAAATTTTTCAAAACATCGTCGTAAATCTTCGACACGTGTACGATATGTTAAATTATCAACTTTAAGTGAATATAAAACATCAACATTTGGTGATATTGCACGACGATTACCAGTATTTCGTGGTCGATTACTCATTTTACGAAGAATATCTCAATATAATTTTCTTATACAAAATAATAATAATAATAACAAATAATAAGAAAAATAACAATGAGTAATTGCAGCCATTTATATATTAACTCACACAATTAGACTAGAGGTTCAATAGATATTAGAGACATCTAGTGAGAAATCATCAAAAAATTTAAATCAATAAATCTCAGAAAAAAAGGTGGGTGGATATTTTTTGAATAACTTTTGATAGAAATAAGATAGAGAACTAGAATTTTCATCTTTAAAAAAAAAATGAAGAAACATCGTACTGTTTATTACAAGTTGTTTTTTGACATGATCTTTTTCAAGATTTTCAATTAAGAGGTGTTGCAGAGATGTCTCAAGATCACCAAGATTGGAGGAAGGTATCGATCCTTGTCACAGGAATTGGTTAGCAAAATAAAAAAACGAAGAAAATCGTTCAGTTTCGCTGGGAAAAAGCGAAAATTTTTCAAGATTGGTAGTTACCTCTGGTTATAGGTATTCTACTCAAAACCCTCAATTGATTTTTTTAAAGCAATCGCTGTGAAAAAAATTCAATTTTTTCGTATTCTATAAGAAACCATTTTTTTCGGGCATTTTTTAATAGAAAATTGATTAAAAAAACTTTCAGAAAACATCTTAGAAAAATTTATAATATATGATTCGATGTGACTTTATCTCCTGTTTCCAATGGTGAAAATCGCATTACTCTATCCTCTTTCCATCGATGTTTTTTTTTTAAATAGGCATTAGTTTTTCACAAGCTATGTCAATGCCTTTGAAAATTCGAAATCCCTACAATCGATATAATCATAGCTTGATAGCTGTTCTCATTATCTCATGTTGATTCATTAAGTTATTGTTTTTTCTTTTGATTATTAAACTATTTTTATAAAATAAATAATCTTAAGTTTGATTAAAAAAAGTAAAAAATATGATTTATTTGTTCCTAAAATTGTAAATTGAGAATCATCTAGATCATTGTCTTAGATACGGATAATTGTAATTTGTATTGCTTGTTCTTTTTTTTTATGATAATCAATTGATATAATCAAAAAAGAAAAATAATCTTTAGTCACACTTAATTAGCTTTTATTCGGATCAAATGAACATAATTATTTTCTCGTTTACTATATGTTACACTTAATAATCTACTTTGCTTTCCTCCCTTCTTTATGAACCTAATTTGTCATCTTTTTGCAGACGACCTAACTATCGTTATATCTGAAGCTCTTGAGAATAGTTTTTCTGAAAAACATTACCGAATTAGAATAGTAGGCTATCTTGAGGGTGGGTGTGGAGCGTTTTTATTTTTATTAAGTTCATATATGTATTTCATAGACAATTAAACTACTTAATCGAATAAGTTCTAATATTTGAAATGTCTGTCATTGACAGCAATAGTGAAGTGTTCAGAAAAACGCTTCAAATACACAAAGAGATATAGCTTCGTGTTGCAAGTAAAAGTCCAAATATAAATATCAATACTGTATTAGTATTGTGACGTGTCGATTGATCTCGTTGTCACTCGTTCGAAATGTACTTCTTACATCATAACAGATAAATATGGTTTTTTTTTGTTTATATAAAAGGAACAATAAACTACAAGAAATTTAGAATAGTCAAAGAAGATAGAATTCTTACGAGCTAAATTATTGCCTATCAAGTGATTATTCTTAAAGGGGAAAGTCTTCACATTGCTTAGTGCTCAAGTGGATAATATACAGCCAGTTTCGTGCTCCAAAAATGGTACCAAAGTAGAACACCATGAGTACGATGTCCGAATCCAGTGGCTAGATTTTCCTGCTTCCGACAGGAAATGGCTGGCTATACACGAGTAGAGCCGATCGTCAGACACGATCATTATAATACTGCTTCCAAATTCGCACCATTTTTCAGGAAAAAAAACATAGAATGGAACACCATAATCATTGACCTGGATAGGGTTGCCACACATAATATTGGAGACATCTTTACTTTAATCACATGAATCAGTATGAAGATTTTATTAAAGTAAAAATATGCGATTTAAACAAATATGTTAGTAATGATTAGGTTTTCTTTTGTATTGAGAAGATCATAGCATTGAAATTTATAGAAGTCAGGAGTGCTCTCCTCCAATGTTGAAAAATTTTTGCTTTTACTCTAGCGGAGCTCCAACATTCTATTTTCAATTTTACCAAACATCTTCCGATTTGCTTCTTGAGGAATCAATAATTCTCCGTTGCCAATTCTGGCAACCTCGAGATGCTTCTCATAGAAACAAAAAAAAATGGTAATTTATTATTCGATCTGATTAGGAAACCAATAAAAATAAAATTTGTTTTTCTCCTTCTCTATGTCTCTTATCTGTATATATACTATACAAATCAAAATTGATTTAATAATGTGATTGGTGTTTCTACGTAGTAACACCAATCATATTGATTAAGTTAAATTTTAGTCAATATGCCATGTATAATGAATTACATATCACAAGTAGCAGTATCGACTTCACCAAGATTTTTACTTAGAAAAGAAATTTCATATTTACACAATAAAATGTATTAAAATCTTTATCAATAGGTTTTACGGGTAAAAATTTCTATTTTAGTTTTTTATCAATAAATTATAAACTTATATTGATAAGAAAATAAGATATTTTGTTTAAATTAAAATATATATATATATATATATATATAGGCGTGCTTAACCATAGGACGCCCCATAGGAAATCATATTACTCCAGAAAAGAGTATATAATGAATTTTATATCAAATGAAAGCTCGTCAAAAATGGGATTTGTTGGTACTAAATAGTAAGAGTTTTGTAAACTTTGTAATATCGAACTTAAGAAATATTGAGAAATTTCATACATTTTTGGCATAGA